CAAACCTCGGCATTAACAGCAACATCATACGTGACCCTTCCAATTCGACGAATGATACGTCCTGAAGTCCAGGTAACCTGCTTGTGGCGGTAGTCCTTTGCCAGCACAGGTTGCCCTTTGAAGCAATTTCGGTTCTGAGCACCGTGTCTCCTGATTAATTGCTGTTCCATTTTGCAGTTTCTGTTCAGGTTGTTCCTGTCAGATGATTTAAGCAAAACAAGACTGGATCGCAGTTTCCGTTGAATCAACACCTCAACCGGAGATTTAGCTTGAGACATCTGTGGATTTGATTATCCTGTGGGCAAAAAGAATAGTCTCAAGATCTCGGTCGTCGACCCTTTCCTCCTTCGCCCGCAGTAATGCTCACTTTAAGATGTCCACGAATAGCTCTGCTAGGCCGTTCAACTGTGGTTGGTATGGAGGTGACCTAATGTGGGCTATGCCGTTTTTATTACAGCAGTCCTCGAAAATGGCTGAAGTGAACTGAGTTCCGTTGTCAGTCACTAATGTGTCCGGATACCCGAAGCAACTTAAAAGCTGACGAAAGACAATACTGGTTCCTGTGGCAGTAGTCCATGGCAAATGCAGTACCTCTGGTGACTTACTGTAGGCCTCAACCTGGATAAGGAAATTGTTTCCATTAATAGGTCCAGCATAATCGGCATGGAGCCTCGACCATGGTTTCCCAGGATCCGACCAATAGTGGAGATCTGCTTTCCTTTGCGACTTCGAAGCAACTGCACATTTTGAGCAAGAGCGGTCAAGCTCTGCGACTTGAGCATCCAGATGAGACCAATACACGTAGCTTCTGGCCAATTCCTTCATACGGTTTATTCCCGGGAGTCCGGTGTGGAACTGCTTCAGAACCTTCGACTGAAGTTCCTTGGGAACCACTAATCGTTCTGCAAACAATAGGCACTCGTCGACAATTGACAGGGAATTGCGACGTTGATGAAGCTGCTTCAGTTCACTGTCTTCAATCTTCTGTGTCCATTTTGAGCTGTGGAAGCGGATCACTTGCTGAAGCATGTGATCGTGTGGGGTTACAATACGTATCTGATAAGCTGTCACAAGCATGGCGTTAACTGCGACGCAACGAACTCAAGGCTCGATCGAGATGCTTGCCACTACAACGTCCTCTGGCTCCTGCCGATCTTTGTCCACGAGGCGTGCTAAAGCATCAGACTGACAAATGTTCCCAATTAATTGGTACTTGATTTCGAAATCATATCCCAAAAGCATTGTGGCCTATCTCTGAAGGCCATTCGCTGAGTACACGGGAATGCCCTACTTGGACCTGAAGATAGCAAGTAGTGACTTGTGATCTGTGACCCAAGTAAAATGACAGCCATAAAGCATTTTGTGAAATTCCTTATTGGCGTAGATTATCACCAATGCTTCTTTTTCGATTTGGCTGTAGTTGCGTTCCGCGGGCGTCAACGATCGGGCAGCACGAGAAATTACCTTCTCAGTTTCGTCAGTAAAGCGGTGAGATACAACCGCGCCAATCCCGTAATTAGACATACCATTAGCAACATTGATATCCAAGCTCGGATCGTAATGAGTCAACAGTAGGTCTGATGATAGCATGATTTCGATCCTGCCAAAAGCTTGACTGCACTCCGTGCTCCAACACCACTTGGAATTCTTGCGAAATAACGCGTTCAGTGGACCCCGTATATCATCTATTGCTGAGAAAAATGCACTGTAGTGACTCACCAATCCCAAGAAGGATCGTAGCGCCGTCACATCATGTGGTGGAGACATTTTCTGCATGGCCTCAATATTAGCAGGGTCTAGTCTTTGACAGTGTTGATCAATGATGGATTTCAAGTATTTTACCGAATCCATGTAAAAAAACACTTTTCTTCCCTCAGGCGAAAGCCATAATCTTGGATTCGATCAAGAACATTTTCAATCCGGTTCTCTAGATCCACCGGATCAGTGCCCATGATAATGATATCGTCGAGATATGCCGCGACAGATGAAACATCCCGTAACATGGGGTCGATGATCTGTGGAAAATTGGCCAGTGCCCTTTTTACTCCAAATCACATGCGAGTGTATCGAAACAGACCCCCGTGAGTATTCATGGTCAGCAACTTTTGTGCGTTCTCAGCAACTTCCACTTGTAGCTATGCGTCCGATAAGTCTAGTTTGACGAAATGTTTGCTGCCATTAACTTTCGCGAACAAATCATTCGGCAGAGGTAACGGATGAGACCAGTGGAGAAGTCTGTACAGATTCGCAGTCTCCCATTTGATTTCTTGATCACCACAAGAGGAGCAGCCCATGATGAGTACTTCACAGATTGTAAGATGCCAGCTGGTTGCAGTCTCACCAATTCCAGTTCAACGCATGGTAACGCTGCATATGGTACTGGACGTTTGGGTCGGAGGACAGGTTTTGCGTCAGGGCGGAGGGAAAATATTGCCTTGGTTTTCGTGCAGCACCCATGTTCATCCCGGTATACTTGCGCGAATTTACGACGCAAATGCTCTGACAGCACATTACTGGGAGGAGTGATCACAGACTAAACACACAACTGATTACACATGGAATTAAGTGGGACGTCCAAGAGCCTGAGTTTTGCGATCCAATCAAGGCCCAAAAGGTTTGAATTTGGCCTATTAGAAAGGTAACACACGACACATTATTGACAAACACAACACATAAGTACACCTGTGAGTTTCAGAACTCCACCGGAAGCATTCAGCGCTGTGCGATTTGTCGGCTTTAGAGGAGGTTGACCGATCATGTTCTATCTGCTTGATAACAATAAAGTAATATCAGATGCTGTATCAAGCTGGAGACGCACAGGAGTGTTGTTGATATGCACAGTCACATATATGCGCCGGGGTTTTGCATCCATGTCGAACGTAGCCATAACACGATTTATTCTGCTCCTAGATTTTTGTCCATCATTTTTGAACTGGCTGGACTGTGTCTTCGGAAGTACACTATCATTTGTGCGGCAATGGTCCTCTTTGTGTCCTCCTTCGTGACACATCTGACAGTGGTGCTTTTTGAATGGGCACGATCAGACATAATGACAACCACCACACTGCCAGCAGGCTGTTGGGGGTTTGTTGAAGGTGCCGATTCTTGAGGAATTAATGGGCTTTGTTGGGATGTTTTTCGTCACCGCCTCACGTTACTGGAGCCAAGGACTGTTTCTCGTCCAATCGTGGCAGTATCGTGTTTTATGTTCAACAAACCTTGGCACTCTGAACTAACTGATCTCAGATTCATGTTAGGATCCTGCTTCATCTTACTGAGTAAGCGGCTACGAATCTGAGTCATGAGGCGATTGAGGGCCACCAACAAATGCCAGGCATATGAATTGGTCGTCCATCATTTCCGTAATCTTGAAGCGTACACACTGACGGTTAAACGTGGTCGCGTAAGACACAACATCATCACAGTCACTTTTGACAAGTTTCAAATCGGAGTACTGCACATTACAAATAGAAGGCGCTTCCCCAAAGATTTCTTTCAACAGTTCAACGATTTCATGGAATTTAAAATCCTTCGCGCTCTTAGGAAGAATAAAACTCACAAACCTTTCGTGTTCCTTAGTCCTAAGTGTTCGCAGAAGCAACCGTGATTTTAAATCATCATTCGTATCAGCCAGTTCTATCCGTGATGTGTTTTCTTACCTTCTGAACCAACAGTCGAAAGTACACCCGGTATCTAAATCATAGCTGAGTTCTGTGATGCTTCCTGAAATTGCATCAATGGATGACTGCGTTATGTCCATTGTGGACTATTGAACACTAAATTTTTGCGATAGTGTTTCGATAAGCCGCGCCTGTGATTGTTCAGTTACCTTCTGTTGCTGTTGCAGGATCAAGTTGAGCTCTTTGGACATCTTTAGGTGTTAATCACAATCTTTTCCGTCGGCAGAAAATATGTGGCCCTCTATGTATTGCGAACGTGCCAACCTCAAAGCCTAAACGCTGGATTCAAAACAGTAGTCGAAAGACGTCAACATGGAACACTCTCTTGCGAGAAGACAAACGTACATGGGCTACGCTTTCATTGGTTTATAAAGTTTTCCCACATGATGGCCTTGATGCTGAAAATGTAGCAGACTGTCATTGGTTGAATCAGAATCAAGGTCACGGCCATGAGACAAGTAAATCATCTTCGAGCCAAATAGCTGAGAGCTGCACCCTACCGATCTTGTTAGGATCTGCATCACCTAACACTCCACACTTTTCCTCATTGATGGAGGACGGGTGCACATCCCCAGATCACGTAATCTTCCTGCCAACCATCATTTCTTTGCATACATTCGATAGAATCTTCGCCGTTTTTCATGGCTTACTTCGTTGTCATTTGTGTCACTGGTGTAAACAAGTGAACTAGCCGATAAGCAGTGAGCAACTGAAGGATAGTATTGGCCTTGTTGGTCTCTGGTAGGCCGTGCCTTTTGGAGGGAGGTGCAGACGCCCATTGATTTACTTGTTATAATCCCATGGTGTAGCAATGGTTCTAGCTGGCTAGCTACAGTCCTTTCTATATTTTACTGTGGGACCACTTTTATCCTCTTGTTATTTAAGCTTGTCTTTTAGGGTCGCATCAAGGGTGTTCTCATAATTGAACTACTTCATAACTCCTGTACTTTTGTCACGTTTTATAATCCTGAAGCTTTTGCTTTTTAGACCACGTGGTGGCCTAATGCGATTACCATGTAGACAGAACGATTTACGTATCGGAACTATAATTCAACTCTTTGCGAAATCAAGCGGTTTAGCCATGAGCTAGGTGTATGGTTTTATCACTTGTTCAATTTGGTTTTGACGTTTGCCTCATTGTGGACTAGGTCAACTTTTTAGGATTCACTTTACAATTCTTATCGAAGGATGACGGTTCCGAGTGTTCCCTCTTCGCCGATACATAGGATTGGTTAGGCATGTACCTTTGAACGTCGCCGAATTTTTTCACTTATTCAAATCTATCGAATAATCTGCTCCTGTCACTCCACACGTACACAGGCTTATGCCCTCCGTTGGAAACGATCACCGAATTCCACCGTACAATTCAAATGGCTGGTACCTCCGGATGGACTTCAGCTTTTCTCTACGCCATTTGAAACTTACCTTGGAAGTGGTTTGTCCGACGGTGGTTTTGGTTCCGTTATCCAACTAGGCGTGCCTTCGTGCAGTTACCGTTCCGGCGAACCTCACTTGGCGGCCTATGGTCTGCTTCAGGTGTATCGGAATCGAAGCATGCGGTACACGTTGGCGCCGCTGCCACATCGGTTTCACATCCTTCTCCTCTACTCTTTTGTTTTTCTCACGTTGTGTCTTTATACCTTGTTCAAACTCAGTCCGACTGCTTTCGTACGCAGATTTCTGCTTGACGCTGTCCTCGCCCTGTTGTTTTACTTTTCTTGTCACTTGGTCCTGTTCAATTTTCTCTATATGATCTGACATAATTGGACTCGGGACGGTGTTCTCTTTATTCCAATGCCTACTTGAGTCTTTGTGCACACAATCTCATCTTTACTTGTGTAATCATTGGTATCCCCATGTAATCCTGTCTCAGTGGCGCGTCGGACCGATTATGTGCACTTTTATCCACACACACTGCCTATTACTGCACTGAAGATGCCACCTCGCATGGTGGTGAAACGTATGCGATTTCTTAATCAAGCTCGGAAAAACAATCAACAGGTGCACATACAATCTTTTATGTTCGCGATGCAACCATTGATTTCGTCTCTCGATCTTATCTTTAAGCTATATCAAGCTTGAGTTGTGTCCAAACTTACCTTCGGCTGCATTTGTACTTTTGTTCATCATCACTTCGTAGTACAATCATTGATTTCTTTTTGTAACTGTTTCTGAGGTGCATCAGACCACATATGTCTATTAATGTCTTCATTTACATCTCCTTTTTGCATTTCCTTCATTGATTTTTTTAGACTGTCGCGTTTGGCACTAACTCCGTCCCTCTTCATGGCTAGTGTTGTGGTAATTGCTGGTCATTTGAACGAAATTGACCTGTGGGTTGTAGACAGACGATGCTAATTGGTCACTGCCGACGTGAACCAGCCAGTGAGTGGAGTCAGGATGGGATCAGCCTTGAAAGAACAAAGCACAGCTTTGTGACGAACGACGGCGGAACGGATTGGCTAGAACAACCGCGAGTGGACGAAGCATGTTCACTGACCAGATAGACAAAGGAGAATTAACGCGTCCAAGTAGGATTCAAGGCGGACGGAGCAGGAGTCGATTGAATCGAGTAAAACATACAAATCAATGAACACAGATAGTCCGCGGAAGACGAAAAAAGGAAAGTAACAAATGTGAAGACATCGCGGCCAAATAGCGCCCCTCACTTAAGCGCAGTATAAACGATGCTTTCGGTTTACAACTAACCAATTTTGACCGTTACCCAGGCTGTTTTGGCTCCTGGCTGGCTACATAATAAATCCCGTTTACGAATGCGCCTATCTTGCCTTGTTAATTAACTAATTAGCAGGAACCATACAGACAATGTACCACGAGTAACTTAAAAATACATCCTCAAGTGATGTAACTCCATAGCATCTGCTGACATGCTCGAATGTGCCGCATCGTTCTCTTGCACGGGAAGTGATATTGATCGCCACCTCCCTTGCCACGAACACACACTATAACCTCCAAAAGATTGATTGGTAGAACGATTGTTCAGGAACTGCTCAAGACTGGCAGCAAAAACTTCAACATTGGTTTCGTCTCCTCGATAGATTGAATCGATTATTAAGCACCATTGTGTCAATAGTGTTCCATTGGAAACGGGCCTGTGCCTACCGAGTGATCGTGAGTGACTTGAACTGCACCATCCACACTCCTCATATACGGTGCAAACCCGAAGGTATAAGACTGAGGGGCGCGTAGAGGGGAGCTACAATTAATTCGGTTCACTCACACTGCTTCCACATGCACGTCGCTCATTTGAACAAGCGGAAACTTACATACCAGACGTACACAGGGTGGTGGCTAGGCCGTAACCCGTTTTACGCTAGATGGAACCACTCTTTAGGATTGACCTGGGATAAAGCACAAGTAAGCGTCGATGAGGTCACGTGTTTCATACTCGAGCCCCGTCAAACCAATAAAAGTTAACTCTCTTTTTTCCACATAACCCTAGTGTCATGCCTGGTCCACTTGAACTGTAAAAGACTGGTCGAACATTCAATTTGCAACATGTCTCGGAGAGCATCACAAAAATGTGTCTACGCAAGTCTTTTGGTCGAAGGTAAAGCTGTACGATTCCAGTTAGACAAGGGTGCTGTTGTCAACATCCTACCAAGGAAGCACTGTCCCGACGCGTACATCCGATCCGATCAAAATTGCCTGTGCACGTGAAATAGCTCCAGATTTCATCCGAAGGGCTCAGCTATAATCGAAGTGGTTACCCCAAGAGACGGAGCCTCACATCGACTGGAGTTTGTGATCGTGGAAGAGAAGCTCACGCCGATTCTCCGCATTGATTCCATTCCGTCTCTCGGTTTTGTTGTTTTTAAGCATGATCGTTTCTTGCATGCTTACCAGGGAGAAACCGATATGAGTGATCAGTACCCGTCTGTGTTTATCCCCGGTTTGGGAAAATCTGTGGAACCACTCACTTGTCATTATATCACTTGATACAGTCGACTGCTCTGTCTGCTAGGAGAGTTCCACTAACGCTGCCTCACAGGTTCTCCGCTGAATTGTGCAAATTAATGAGAGATGGTGTGATTGCCAAAGTCGACGAGCCAACCGACTGGGTCAGTCAGGTCGCAATCATTACGAAGAAGACGGGTGGACTGCGCGTGTGTATTGACCCAAAACCGTTGAATGAGGCCTTGCGTAGAGAGCATTATGCGGCACCTAACCTAGAAGACACTTAACCGCGTTTGGTTAAAGCTAAGTATTTCACGACGGTAGACCTGTCTTCCGCATTCTGGTACGTCATTCTAGATGAATTCAGTTTCCTTACTAACTTTGTCACACCGTTCGGACGTTATCGTAGCTGCCTTTACCATTTGGTTTGAAAGTTCGAATGAAATTTTTTAACCGATTGGTGTAAACGGTAGACGATTTAGATGGTGTAACATGCGTAGCAAAAGGTATTTTGATCTTTGGTTCAACGGAAGTGGAGCATGACACTAATCTCCACCGTTACTTGCTGCGTTGTGTGCAAAAGAGTATCATGATAAAACGTGCAAAAATCATGCTTCAGAAAGACGAGGTTATTTTCCATGGACATGCGCTAACAGCTCTATCGATCACAGTCAATGTAGGAAAAGTTAAGGCAATAGGAGAGATGCCGCCCCCAAAAGACGTGAAGGGAATCCATCGTTTAAACGCTGTGGTGAGTTACGTGAGCCGTTTTAGGCCAAGGCTCACTGATATCATGACGCCGATCAGAAAGCTAACAAACGGGTGAACTGGAGTTGAAGAAAGGAACAGGAGACCACACTTTCAACTATTAAGCGCCTCATCAGCAACGCGCCTGTACTCCAGTATTACGATCCAACGCAGCCTCTGGAGGTACGGTGTGACAGTAACCTAGACGTAATAAGTGCTGCACTTTTATAGAATGGAAAACCGTTGGATTTCCGCAGTCGAGCACTCACTGTGACCGAGCAGCGCTATGCGCAGATTGAGAAGGAGATGCTTGCGGTAGTCTATGCCATGGGGCGTTTCAACGATTCTGCTTTCGGACGAAAGATAACGTTGTATTACCTACCACAGACCATTTGTGTCAATAGTGAGGTAACCGCTGCAGGTCGTTCCTCGTCGCCTTCAGTATATGTTTATCCAGCTTCAAAAGTACGACGTGGATATTGTGTATACACACGGCGCACAGATGTTCATCGCTGATACGCTGTCAAGAACTCATCTGCCGGTACCCGAGTCTAATCTGGAACAGGTCGACGCAGTAAACCTAGTACAGCATCTGCAAGTGACGGAAGATCGTCGGAATGAAATAAGGCACCACAGAGGAAAATGTGGCGTTTTCAGCTTTACGAGAAGTTATTATAAATGGTTGGTCAGAAACCAAGAAGCAGCTGTCGAGGAAACTAATACCCTACTTTAGTTTTCGGATGAACTCTCTGTCTACAATGATCTTCTGTTCAATGGAAGCCGTATTCTGATTCCGTCATCGCTCCGAGGAGAAATGCTGAAATACGTTCATCGCGCTCACCTGGGTGCTAACTATACCATTAACCGAGCAAGAGAATTGATCTTTTGGCCAGGAATGACGGGTCAAATCTGAGATCATGTGTCGAATTGTGGGGCGTGCCATTCACACGAAATCCAGCAGACGAAGGAACCAATGATGCTGCATGATGTCCTTGACTGACCGTGGCAAAAGGTGGCGGCGGATCTACTTTGTGACGACGGTTAAGATTACTTACTCACGATGGGTTACTATAGTGACTATTTTGAAACTGATTTACCCACCCCTACTACCACTGAAGCAGTAATCAACAAGCTCAGGTGTCTATTCGCGCGGCACGGAATACCGGAAGAGCTGGTCTCCGACATTGGTCCTCAGTTTACTAGCGCTGCGTTCCATGTGTTCGCAGCCAGGTGGGAATTTATACACCAGGAAACCAGGCCAAATCACAGACAATGGAATGAAAAAGTGTAGTCAGCAGTGAAACAGACCAAACGACTGGTATCAAAGACTAGAGCAGCTGGCAAAGGCCCGTACCTCATGCTTCAATAATCGCAACACTCCTACAAAGGATATCAGTTTAAGCCCGTTGCAGCGCCTATGCGGCCGAAGGACTAGAACTTTAATGTCTGCATCTGCCACACTTTTACGCTTAGTTTCACTACAGCATAAGATACTACAGAACAGTCTGCGAAGACAAATGACCACTCTGAGACGGTACTACGACCGCGGTGCACGGGCACTACCTGAAATACCAGTGCGGACGGATATGCGGGTTCAACCAATATCCGATGATCAAGAGCGGTGGAAGAAAGGTGTTGTGACTTCTATGGTCAGTGCAAGGTCATACGAAACAAATGTTGTAGAGAAAAGGCTCAGAAGAATTCGAGTGCAGTTGAGACGACACCGGACACAACAATGTGGATTTAGAGTGTGGCGCCCTATGACATGGAGCAAGGAGACCACTGCAGCAGTTACAGCGAAGACGACGCGAAGTGGCGAAGTTTAGTGGATGCATAGCAATATGGAGGCGCAAGGACACGATAAAAGAGCGTGTGATGGGAGTGTCAGATCAGAGTGAGCGAGCGAGCCCGACAACCAATAGGAGACGGACGTAACATATTCGATTACTGAACACGTCTTAGGCGACATTCGTGTGTGTTACTTACCGTTTATTTGACTGTGTCGAAGGAGGAGCCTCATGGACTCACAGGAGTCGTTAGTTATAGATGTGCACGGGTAAATTATATCGAGGAGTTTGGCTTCCACAATTTAC